ACGCATGTGGGAATTCCACACATGGAAACCATGATCCCTTGAAGTGTTGCCGGACTCTCTTTGATTCTTAGTAATTTTTTACTATGTACTTCAAATTATATAATATATATTTATCCTTCTTATATTTCACAGATCTTAATATTCTGATTGCTGCAACACTCAATTTAGATCTTAACGGCCTTTTACATCCACATGTTTGTGATTTTATAAATTTTTTTTTTAGTTCTCCGTTATATGCTCTTATCCTATAAGACTCTTAGGGAACTTCTCTAATTTAAGGCATGTAAGGAGTACTGATTAAGCAATAACCCAATTTTTATTTGATGAAGTGCATGCCAAAATTATGTTGGACTGGGCTTTGTTTATTAATAATTCTAAAGTTATTGTTATAATATAATCTGTTAAATACTTGTCCTTGATTTTGAGATGATCAAGTGTAACGTTATGTCATAGGATTTCATAGATGCTCTGAGCTTTAAACTTTGAACTCGACATCAACTCTAGATTACGACCAAGATCTGGTTCTTACTCATCCTTGTAATAAGATTAGCTTTGTCGAAGATACAATTATCAGTTTTTAATCTTCTATCTTTGAATGGTATACAATAGTCGACATCCATGTAGAATTCTTGTCTATTTTTATTTTTTTATTTTTCTTGAACAATATATCTCTTTTTATTGTGTACTTTAGATAATAAAGTATCTTATAAATAGTTTATAATTGTTTCTCTTTTGGATCATTAACTTAATAAACGAACAACGTAAGTAATATTCAACCTTGTGCAAGATTATGTAAATCAATCTCCCAACCGAAGGTACTCATTTCAACTTTGATATCTTACTCGGTCCCAAGACAATCCAATGGTTTTGTTCTCCAGAGTATATATTTTTTCAAGAGATAAAAATAAAATTTTTATTGAAAAATAAATAAATTTCTTTGTAATATGCTAATTTGACTCTAAAGAAAGGTGGAGAAACTATATTCTTATATTCCATCATAATCAAATTACAACATTTTCCCTAGAGATATAGGGGATATCTAGGTCAAACAAAATAAAGGCTATCAAAACATGCCAAATACAAAATAAGCAATAAAGGAAAGACAAAAAATTTAATAAAAAACAACATAAAAGGAATAAAATTGAAATAGGAAACTCCCTGCAATAGCTTCCACAAATTGATTCTGTGGAGCCCATATGTGCGACGGTCTGGGCCACCTAACAGGGACAAAATTGCACTCTCCCTCAAGCTAGGTTATAGATGTTGTAAATACAGCTTACTATTCAAATCATTAAAGCTTCCTGGAGGTAGGGTTTTAGTGAAAACATCCACGACTTGAAGATGCTTTGGAATGTAAATTAAGCGAATAATGCCACCATTGTCCTCTCAGAGATAAAATATCCATCAAACTCAATGTGTTTGATCTTGTCATTATGCACAAGGTTCTTTGCAATATTACTTGTAGCTTGACTATCACAAAACATCTTAATGGTATTGACTGTGGAGCATTTCAATTCTCAATTCATTTAGTAACCCTTAGATCTACATTCCTTCATAATTCTCAAAGCAAGTGTCTGGTACTTAGATTCTACACTACTTTTAGAGACAACTTCTTGCTTCTTAGTCCTCCATATGATAAGATTTTCCCATACACAGGACTAATACCCAGATGTGGATCTTCTGTCCGTGAATTCTTTTGTCCGATTAGCATCAGTATAAATCTCAACTTCTCGTTTGATTTCCTAAAAAATAACCCTCTACTAGGAGTCTTCTTAAGAAAGCTCAATATTCTATAAACCAAATCCAAATATTCTTCATTTAGATTATTCATATGTTGACTCACAATGCTAAAAGAGTAAACGTTATCAGGTTTAGTGTGTGACAAATACATAAGCTTATCTACCAATCTTTGTTATCTATCTTTTTCATCTGGTGTCTTTCTTTCTGTGAATGTAAATTTTTGTTGAAATCCGTAGAAGTCTCAACATGCTTACACCCTAGCATTCCTGTCTCTTTTAGTTGGTATAGAATTTACATTCTTTGGGATATCACAATTTTCATCTTGGACCTAACCACTTTCATGCACAAAAAGTATCTCATAGCTCATAGATCATTGATTTCAAATTCAGTGGCAGGAACCTCCATAATCTTTCCAATATCTTTTTCATCATTTGTTAGGATCATATCATCTACAAAGACAATGAATATATCTTTCTTTCCTTTTTGTTGTTTTATAAACAATGTATGATCAACGTGGCAATAAATTTCATAGTCTTGGTAATTTTGTCAAATCAAGTTGCAGAGATTGTTTGAGACCATAAAGTGACTTTCTCAACTTACAAACCAGATTTTTATTTTAGTAATTTTTCAAATCTAGTGGGATTTCCATATGCGCTTCTTACTCAAGGTCTTTATTCAAAAAAACATTTTTAATATCAAATTGATGTATTTCCCATTAATGTTTCACTACCAAAGAAAGAATAACTCTTACAATGTTTAGCATGGTCACTGGTGCAAATGTCTCTTGATAGTCTATCTCATAAGACTGAGTAAAACCTTTGGCCACCATCCTTGCCTTGAACTTTTCAATGCTCCCATTTGATTTGTACTTGACATTGAATACTCATTTGCTCCCAACGGGTTTTTTATTCGAAGGAGGCTTTGTAAAGGTCAATGTGTCATTTAGATCAAGTGCTTGGATATTCTCTTCAACTGTATTTTTTTATTATGTGCTTTGAAGTGCTTCATGCATAAAAATGGGTATCTGCACACTATCAATATTCGATACAAATGTTCATAAGGTGATAATAACTTCCCATTGGCAAGGTACTCTTGGATATGATAATTTATGCAACTTTTCAAAAATTTTAAAAAGAGCTACTCTTTTCTATTTATATTTTTATTTTTCAAATTTCACATATTTAAAGAATTAAAAATATAAGAAGCATAATGTAAATAATTGAAATGATTTAATAAATATATTTATTAAAATAACAATACAAGTATATTTTATAGATTAATTAGCATGTTTCCTTGAACCAGTAATCCACAAACAATAATAAACTTCTTCGAAGATAAATAAGATTTCCCATATTAAGACAATAATAAAAATAAAAATGTATAGCATAGAAAATCAAACAGTAGCTGTGTGAGAAAGAAGTGGCTGAAAATAAAAATGTATAGCATAGAAAATCAAACAGTATCCTCTTGTAAGTAAATTTCCTTCTATCAGTTATATCAATCTAACTGAGTTTTTTTTTTTTTTTTCTTAACTAATAAGTTTTATTATTTACTAAATTATTATAAAAATGCTCAAAGAATTATGGTGACTAACCTATAAAATAAAATATTAATTTTTTTATTAAATTATTTTAACTATTTGCATTTTCTACTTTTTTCTTTTAAGAAGTCATTTTAGGAGTACTGTTAAAATTTTATATCGATAAAGGTACAATTAACTTAATTTCTATTTTCATTTCTTATTCCATGTACATTTCTTTTTTTTTCATGCATGGAACTATTAGCATCCGCGGTTAGTAACTTAAAGGATGACTCATGATTGACTTAAAATTTTCTTTTCATTAAATCCATTTATTTTACTTCATTTATCATTCAAACAGTAATATAATTTTAATCATAGAACTGTCATTTCATTTTTTATTTTTTATTTTTTTTCAATTATAGAAATGCTTTAAAGTCTTTACGAAATAAATGAAGTATTTTTTTTAAAACAATACAGTAAGTTTATCTGTCATTATAAACTTTAACCTTCAAAAGCACAATGCATTTAAACAAATGGAAAAAAAAATTAATGCATATAAAATAATAATTACTCACATTAATCTTTTGGAGACCTCTCTATATGCTTATTCCTCCATTTAATCACTTCATTGATCCTCTACTAATCTATTATTATCATTCAATCATGATCTTAAAGTGTTTTCGAGACACAATTACTTTAAGCATTTGATTATTTTCTAATACTATAATACATAAGTAGGTCTCATCTCACTGTCTTTTAACTAACCTAAAAATTTCTTAATATTGTCTATTCTTCAATTTTACATTCCTAATATTCATTACAAAGAAATCTAACATTAATACATGATTTTTTAATAAAAATTAAATTCCTCCACTTAAAAATTTAAAACCATAACCTTCAATTCTTTCATTTTTTTCTCGTGTGAAGTCAATTATCCAAATCTCCTATTGAATCAAATGTTTTTTAATCCTTTGTTTTTATTTATAATATTAATATTAACATAGTTTTTTCAATGAAAATATTTATCTCAAATAAAATAAATAAACATTAATTCTTACATTAATCTCTTCTTGTTTTTACATTTTGTTGCATGAAGGTCAACAGTTTTGTTGATCAAACTACCTAATAGTGTCTAGAGAGAATTTAGTCTTGAGCTGTCGTAGTCTGGATCTATCTTTACTCTGGATCTATCTTTACTGATCGGACGGAAGAAATTAGATGGTTTTTGGATGAAAAAACACTGATTTATAAAAGCGATTAGGATTAAAAAAAAAAACTGTGGTATATGGAATAAGTTGCTCTGAGAAAAAAAATAGCTGAGAAAGAAGTGGCTGAATATTCTCCTCGACCTTTGTTTGAGGGATGAAAAAACAAGAAGGTGAAAGGACCTTGAACTTCCTTCACCTTGTTATATATGCTCGCTTCCACAGAGTTAAACCTGGAAAGAACGATGTAATCTGTTATCACACATCTTAATATATGGTGATTTTTTTGTGAGGACAATGACTTCTATATTCCTGAAGTTATAGATTTCTTTCAGCATTATTTTTCATCTGTCTTTCTATATCCATTTATTTTCCTACATTTATTATCTTTATAGAAAAATTATTCAGTTATATGGCAGATGCGCCTGTACATATTCTAAGGAACAATTATATTGTTTCTTTTGTTTCTTTGTTTATTTTTTGTACATGCGCTAGTGAATTTTTCTCTGTGTTATTTATTATTTTTTTCTTAGATACCAAAGGGAGTACAACCAGGCCAACTGTTGGCAATGAGGGGGAGAGGTACACTTATTGTGATCTGTTCGTAGTCGTTCTAATGTGCTGGTGCTTGTAATTTCTTACTTGATTTTGTAATGATTATGTTCTATCAGGACTGCCAAAGCACATTGGGTCTTCCAGTCATGGTGACCAGTTTGTGAGATTCCGTGTGCACTTTCCTTCGTAAGAACATCATCCTGGACTGATTTTTATGCTTTCATTCTTATTTATTCACTAAGTTTGTTAGATTAGATGCAACTCAGATTGTGGAAATTTTTTGTTACATTGCAACAATTCTTGATTACACAAATTATTGATGGTTTTTGTGAGCTTGCATCATTAGCATCCATGCACTTCAAATGGGATAAGTTTGTTTGCTAATTACTTTAAAAAAAATTATTAAACCTGTTATATTCTATTTTTGGGGAACAAAATGTATGTGAAGTGGTTCGGATAATGAAACTAGCGGGTAGAAGAGAAATACAATAGAAGAGTTGAGTACTTCATTGTGATTATTTGGCCAAAGTATGCCGCTTTTTTAGAGATTTAGAATTGCTAAAAACAGGAAAAATTAAACTTTGGCCTGATAAGACAGGAAAGGAAAAAAAATCAATATTAATTATATTTAAAAAAATACTAAATATAAATGGTTGAATCATTGGGAGAGAAATATAGACAACCTATCAAGTGTTGCTTCCGAATATACAATACTCATAACAACTAAGTTAATAATCGAGGTTTGTCCATCCCCAAAACACTGATTTGAGAGCCATCTACTTTCTCTAACAATGTTTAATAATAGAGTTCAGTTTCATTCTACTTAATGGGTTTCATAATATCCCCCACTTAAGTAATTGAAGTCCTCGTTAGTGTTCTAAATCTAGAATTATCTACCTAACAGACAGGATTCCAGAGATGGCCCCTACAGATGCAAGAGTTGGCTCTCACAATGTAGCACTTTATCTCATCACGGGTTCAAGAGGTGGCTCTCATGATATAATACTTTGTTTTATATAGCACTTAGTTTCCATCTTTAACTTGGTGGAATGCTCTGATACCTTTTATAACATCCAGAACTCTCATCCATCGAGATATTGTCCGCCTTGGAATATTGGCCTCATAGTTTTGTTCCCGAGAGGTCCCTTGGATACCTGAGTTAACCGGAACAATAATACAACAACAACAAGAACAAAACCTTAACTCTACTACGTTGACTACATTAATCCTTTTTCTCCATTGTGTCCTATTTAGTGTCTTATTTTCCTGCTTTGGTTCTAATAAAATTAAGATTTATTTAATAAGTCCAAGTCTTCCTAGGTCTACCTCTGTTTTTCTTAACATAGTCGAATCTAAAACATCAACTTTCCTGATCAGATCATCAGATAGTTTAATATGACCAAACCATCTAAGACGACTTTCTCTAATTTTGTCTGTCACAGGAGCTACACCAACCCTATCACGAATATATTCATTCCGCATTTTGTCTCTAAGTGTAAAGCCACTCATCCACCTAATCATTCTCATCTCGGCAACACTTAACTTATTATTATGCTTCTCTTTTAAAGGCCAACATTCAGCGCCATAGAGCATTGCAGGTCTCACCACCGTCTTATAAAATTTTCCTTTCAGTCTAAGAGGTACTTTTCTATCACACAAAGGGCCCGAAGCATTGCTTAATATATCTTTCGGTGGACCCATTAGGTCGGTATTTTGGTATTTTATATTAAATAACTTTTTGACTTGCATAGTTTCATTTTTTTCATAAGAGCTTTCATATCCTCTTTAACTGCCTCTCTTTTCATTTTAGATTAATAAAGGCCTCTTTTTTTACTTTTAAAATTTCAACCTCTTCTTGATAGGAGACCAAGTTTTTTTTTTATTATTTTATTTTAAAACCTAGGAAGAAAGATAATCATTTCTTACCACATTTGCTAGAGGATGCTGATTATGGGCATGCGCTTCTCTTCTTAGAGCGATGGACAATTCTTCTGTATAATCTCAAGATTTATGAGTTCTGAATTTTTCATGAATAGCAACAAGAGGTAGAGTGATTTCACTTTATTGTTGATCTTCCTTCTAGAATAAACACAAATTTAGTTGGATATTGAGGTGTTTGAGTGATAGGAGTTTCTGTGATCTCATTTTTATTGGATTGAGGAAATTTGGTGGTAATACTTGGGTTGGAGAATTTCAAAGTAAATTGTTAAAAAGTTTTTCATTTATTATGTTCTCCTAAAGGATTTTTTTTTTAAAGTAGTATTTATTTTTAAAGAAGGCTTGATTCATTACTACAAATTTTTTACTTTTGTAAAGGAAAAGATATTTGTACCATTTTTGGTTTGTCCCATACTCGATATAGATAGATTTTAAGGTTTTGGAATCAAGTTTATTCCTATTTGGTCTATGATTTTGTACAAAAGTTGGAACACAACTAAAACATCTGGGAAGAATTGAAAACTGGGTTTGGAAAATCAATTGGACTTTTGAAGTAAATATTTAGGAAAATGATTTATGAGGTAATAAGTAGTGAGAAGGGCATCACCCAATGATACCGTAGGAGAATACCCAAACTACAAAAGAAATACAAATATTTTTATTGAATTTGAAATCAGTTCAAACTCTTAAAAATATGAAATAAATGACAAACAAAAAAAGACACAAGCCAACAACTCAAAAGTGTATTTGAAGGGCGGTGAAGGTTGGCCGAGTGTATGTGGAGGCTTGTGACAACAAATGTGAATGTGGGAGTGAGGCCGGTAGTGGTTGGAAGGTGAACTGGAAGATGGAGGCAGCAGGTTAAGGTGGCGAGAAGGTTAATTGGGCGGCTGCGAGGCAGGTTGGAAGGTGGTGTAAGTTAGGAAGGTAGGGCAGTAGCAGAGAAGGCTGGTCAACACTTTCGGCGGGTGGACTGCGAGCGGGAAGTGCTTGCAGCAATGGGAAAGGCCTGGACAACAAGGTAGACTACTGGAAGTGGGTTGGTTGAGTGTTGTGAGGAATTTTGGGCAGGTGGATAGCAAGATTGGGTTGTTCAGGAAAGTAGGCTGAGTGTTGGGATGGAGCATGGGGAGTTGTGGCCTTGCTGGGAGAAGGTTGACAACAGGTTGGAAGGACAACAACCTACAATTGTTAGGGAAGAGGTGTGGTGGCCTGCTATAGTGATGGGAAGCGGGTGGATAGCAGCAGGAAGGGTGGAAGGGTAGATAAATATCTCGTCGGGGTCGAGCTACAGCCGGAGCACGACCCTGACCAGTGGAGACGAGCACTACCTCGACATCGAATACAACATTTAAAGAGAAAAATGCTAAGGCTAAAACTTGATTCATTATCCCGTATTTATAAAGAGGCTAGAATTATTTTAGGTAACGAAGAAGAATAAAATATAATCAATTTTTCTGATTTTAGGAAATGATTTAAAATAGGAAATGATTTAAGGAAATGATTTAAAATAAGAAAAAATAAGAAAGAATTTAAAATAAGAAGGGAGAATAAAATATAATTATGATTTCATATTTTATGAAGGATTTAGAATAGGAAAGTGTTTAGAAAGGAAAGGTTTTGGGGGAGAAAGGAAATGTGAGGAAGGAGGAGCAAGAAAAGCAAAGGGGAAAGGAAGGAAAAATGGATGGAGGGAAAGAAGGAAGAGGAAGGAGGGGGCGGCAGCTCTCCTCCCTTGAGGACAGGTCGGTCCTCCCCCAAGCCTCGCATCAGTCTCTCAGGGTTGGAGGAGCTTCGACCTCATTCGTCGAAGTTTTTTGCTCTCATAGTATGGTGGTAAGATCTCTGGTAGGTCGATCATGTCGGCGTAGTTATTCCATATCACATTCTGATAGAGTAGGTAGTCATCCTCTTTTGACACATTTTGAGCGGGAGTTGTATATAGAGTTGGGTTCCCTCAATGCAACTTTCGAGCCCTTACATTTGAAATCTTCTTCCACTTCCCATGCTTAGCGTGTTGTGGCTTAGTAATAAGTATGTGAGGAGAAATCAATTCTGGGATAAAATTTGTGGCAAGTTGCGCCACTCTCACTGGCACCCTCTCAGGAGTCTTCTCCTCGCAAAGAGGACCTATATCCCATTGCAGAATTTTCATCTCCATCAAGCTCCTCGACCCACTACAATTTTGGGGTTCATCTCTTCTGTCTGGGCATTTGACGAGGTGTCCCCTGTTGGCCTGAAAGTAATCTCTGAATATGTCCATGTAATGTTGTCGACATGACACACAATGACTTCATTTCTGACATGTTGGACCTCCCTCCGTAGGGACAACTCTGGAGGGAGTCTATACTTTTGAAAAAATCTACATCTCGCTTATCCATGAACCTATATCTGATGTCAGCTCATCAAACTCATAATTCTTGTTGACATCCAAGATCATTTCTGTTGATGTTCCTATTACTGTTTGCAGGATGTTAGCTCGAGGCACCATAATCTCATGCTCTTATAGGCTGCCCATTACCTCGTAGTCACCATTTTCTAGAGCAGTGACTGTTACTTTTACTGGAATCTCTATCTCGGGTTCTACTGGATTTGGTGGTGCTACAAGTGGAGAATCCTTTCGGAAGTCTTCATCTTCTTTCTGATCACCGTTCATTTCTTCAATTAGAAGCCGGTACTCGTCGTTGATGTCCTTATCATCTTGAGTGTCTACGGTGTCTTTATGGCATGTCTTAACAATGCCCTACTCAGTAAAATAGATTACTCCCTTGGTTATGCATTTTGCTTCCACATGTCCTAATCTGTGGTTGTTGCAGCAATTCTTGGTTGTGACAGCCTTGCGGCTTGTTTTCTAGATAGTAGACAGAAAGGGCCGGGGGTCACTTGGTGATGTGGTCTCTCTATTTCTGATGCTAGGATTTGTAATTTTTGGCGGTAATAAGCTAGTGGGAATTGGTGTTGTGTTTCCCATTTCATTGTCATATCTTGTCATTCTTCTATTCGATTCTCTCGATCACGGTCGAGGGTAACCTCCCATTGAATTTCATCCTTAATGTACGTAAGCCACCGCTAAAGTCAGCGAATCTCTTGCTATATCTCCTTTCCGGTAGGCTTGGGCATATATCTCATTAGTGGCATGGCTAAGATTTGAGAATAAGAAAGAAAAATTTTGGTGAGGTAAGTGTTTGAGTTGTGGAAAGGATATTTTGTGGTAGGAAAGAGTTTTGATTTATGGCCGATGCTAGGAC